CACTACAAGAGAATTGTCTTGAAAGGTTAAGACAAATTCTACATAAATGTCTTAAAAGTCTAATAATTCTTAATACTAATAAAGAATTGTCTTTAAAGGTTAAGATTAAATCTTACTATTTCAGTACTAGTTCAAGTTTAAGAATACTTCATATTAATGAATACTTCATATTACTAATTAATTCTGGTTAAAGTCTAAGAGTATATCGTATGAAAACAAAATTGTTTTTAAAGTGTAAAAATACTTTATATAATTACAGAAGTATCTCTGAATCGATATCATGTCAGAATCTTTAAATAGTTAAAAATAATAAACACTAAACTAGAATTGCTTTGAAAGTCTAAGATCACATCATGTTACTACTTCAAACTATATCATAATTGACCTTATAGGCTAGGACAATTTTTTACAACAGCAGAATTCTCTTCAAATTCTAAGAATTCTTCATGCTAATACATAATTAAAAAAAAATCTAATGCTACTTCATACTATAACGGAATTCGCTTTAAAGGCTACGATGAATAAATTCATACTCGATTAAAAAGATCTTTAAAGTCTAGACTACTTCATGTAATTACAGAAATGTCTTTGAATCAATACCATATTATAATTGTCTTTAAAAGCTAAGGATAATATATACGAAAATAGAATTGTTTTAAAGACTATTTTATACTATAACAGAATTATCTTTAAGGTATAAGAATACTTCATACTATAACAGAATTATCTTAAAAGGCTAAGACTACTTCAGACTACTACAGAAATATCTTTAAAGATTAAGAAAACTTTACACAAATAAAGAATTTTCTTTAAAGTCCAAGAATACTTCATACTACTATAGAATTATCTTCAAAGGCAATGGCTTCTTCATACAAGAATAAAATTGGTTATGAGACTAAGAATAATTTACGCTATAGAAGAAATGTTTTTAAAGCCCCAAGCTACTTTGTACTCCAGGAGAAATATCTTTAAAGGGTCTAAATACTCCATAGTTCACCAGAAATTTCGTTAAAGTCTTAGAATACTCCATACTACAAGAGAGATATCTTTAAAACTAAGAATCCTTCATACAACAACGAAATCGTATTTAAAGTCTAAGAATAGTTCATACTACAACAGAACTGTTTTTAAAGGCTAATACTACTTCATATAGCTAGAGAATCGCTTTAAATTTTAAGACTGATTCATACTGCTACAGAATTTTCTTTAAAGGTGAATCATGCTTTATTATAAAACATGTCTCTTTCAAGTCCAAGCCTAATTCATACAGCTACTAGAATATCTTAAAATGCCACAAATATTTCATACTATTAGGTAATAAATATAAAGTCTAGAAAGGAAATTTGTTTTCCGAGTCGTTTTCGCGTTACACGTTCCGTATGACAATAGAGCTCAAATCTATAAAAGTGAATTTCATATCTCCAAATTTGATCTTCACATCCTCGGCTTAGTAGCAACGGACAGAAATTGTCCGTTATCATTGTCGCGACTAAAGTATTAGATCTGTACAAAAGTTTCAAGAATTTCTTTTAGAAATAATAAATACTTTTCTGTAGTGTCTCAACTTTCCAAAAATGGTGGATGCCAAAAACTTTTGTACACCCAAAATATTTCATATAACAATATATACCGGGCGTAACAGAAAAAATGTCCAAATCGTGTAACAGCATAATTGTCCATCTCTCATAATGTTTAATATCTAAAAAACACTAAACTAATGGAGTTTCTTTTTGCAGGTTTTTAGATAAGACGTTTGGCCCTCTTGACGCCATTTGTTGTAAGAATCACTGAAAACCCCTTTGACTTATCCAGCTAGAAAGTCAACAGGTTAAAATCGTATCGTGTTAGCCCCACATTTCTCCCCAAATGAGAAATGGTGAGAGGAAAATATCATTTAGTCCTTCAGTAATGTTACCAGAATTCATAGTCAGGCTTCCATCTTCAAAGTCCATTCAAGAAGCATCAAGAGAACAGTGAATAAGTTTAAAAAAGAGGGAACAGTACAGAAGAAAACTGGATCAGGAGGTCACAACAAGAAGAGGGATCATCATTTCAACTTAGAGTTAAAGAGATCAGTAAAAAAGACCCAACTCAGTTCATAAGACGTTTTGCATGTGAGAGAGGAGTTTCAGACATGACAGTCCAAAGAGCAGAGAAAAAAACTTAAAAATGCAATCATACGTGAAATGTGTGAAGCACCTTGTTAATCCAGGACAGAAAGTTAGAAGGTTAGAGAAGGCGAGGATCATCTTGAATAAGTTGGGAAATGATCCTGGAATAATATATATATATATATATATTTAAAATTTATTTAAATCCTTCATGAGTTTCCGATCCTTAGCTATGACTAATTAATAGTGGACATGTAATTTTCGTTTATGATCGATTTCATCACGATTCTTCTAAGGTTTGAAAAGTAATTATATATTCTTATTGCTCAAAGTATAGTTCAATAGTATTATAAAAACTGCGGAGAATTCCAGTAAGATATCTTTAATCATTTCTAAGATACAACGGTTCAAAGCTTAATCTAACAATTGGACAATCTTGGTGTTACACCCGATATTTTAATTTAATAATCACCTAATATATAAAATCTTGCAGTCTAATTTTATTTCCTTCCAAGCGAATGATTTTTCCTAGACATTTTTATGCCATGGTAATCCAAATTTGAACCTGACATGTTCTGATTCTAACGACACGAGATGCAAATGTCTCAAGTGATCGGATTTGCAGCTGAGGAACGTTACGCCACCGAAAAAAAAAAATTAACGACAGATCGAACGCTTCTATTTCTTGATTGATTAATGTTCATTTTTTCCTTTTACTGTGGACCGGTGCAGAAAAGCTATTTAGGGGAACGCCCGAATGAACATCACACGCGCCTGGAGAGATATTTCACGACATTAAGACCCGTACATAGATCGTAGACTTCCTTGCACAGCAGCACCCTACCACTCTCACTCTTTCTTTCTAACACGCAAAACACACATACACGCATATATGAAAGTACAGTTATGCATACACAGACGTACATATAGACACGCAAAGACACACATATGCTCACATCCTTCTTTGTCTGTACAAAAAACGCATTTTATATTCTATTTAATGTAAGAATGTGAAGACTGAAGAGACAGCATCTGTCCTGACTAGTTTCACTCTTATATATAATCATATATTCACATACGGAAATTTCTTCTTCCATGTGTCACGTCTCTTCAGAACGTGGGTGATCATGCCTCTCCACAACCTCCTATCCCGTGCAACTCTTAATAACATTTGTCTTTTTACACTCCCGACACACCCCATTGCGCTGTCCATTCATATAAACTTGTCATGTAGGTGGCCCACTGTCACCCCCTGTTTCTTTTGCTTTCGATATGTCATGTGGGTGCAAAATTTTCAATGCTTTCTTTCCTTATTAAGTGTCCTAGAAATGTCACCTGTCTCTCCCTCTGATTCTAAGTATAAGGTTTTGTTTCTATTTGTCTCAAGGTTTTCTCATTGCTTACACACTTCGACCAAGGTGTTTTCAGCATCCTTTTGTAGAACTCCCTTTTTACTGACTCCAAACTTCTCTTCATCTGTGAAGGCTCACACACATATAAAGGCATAGACACACACATTCATATCAAGTGTTAGCGTTTTCTTTTTTTTTCGTCAAGGAAAAAAGTCAACTCTTAATAATAATAACTACGAACACGGCCACAATATGCTAACCGTGTTCGGAAAATAAAACATCTCTATCACACTAAAAACATACACACAACACACAGACTCAATGAAAAAAAATAAATTCATCCTTGATAATGGCTAAAAGTATATCTGAAAGCGATCAGAATGATAGAACATTTGAACAGTTTCTACACACTCTGTGTCTCAAAAAGAAAACACTTGTTCGAAAAAAAAAAACAATTAAATAAAAGCTTAATCGTAGTACCTTGTCTGTCGTTTTTAATGAAGCATGCACACACACACATATATATATATATACATTATATATATATATATATATATAAATAACGGGACTAAACACCTCAATTCAGCTTAATTTTAATAATTATTTGGATGGTTTCGGCTCTCGTTTTTGAAACATGAGAACTCTTATGTAGCGAAGGAATCATATTTTTAAACAAAAAAATATTATTATAATAAAGCTCTATTACTGTATGGACCACTGTCTTCTTAAAAATAAAAACAAAAATACTAAGGAACTCCGGATTATGCACCCAACGTGTTCTTTTCTATTTTCTGCATACCTTAGCCACTGACTTTGAAAATCAGCATTTAAAGTTACATAGATTCGAATAGAGACCCACTAGTGTCGGTAGGAAATACTCAATATTTTCACCAACATATCAGGCCGACGCAATTCCAAACGTGTAGATGTGGCGTCTTCATACATATACATGTAGTCTTAGACACACAAAGACGCAAACATATATATTTACCACTTTCTTCCTTGTTTAATGGCACCTGTCAACTGATCAAATTCTTGCAGTACAATGATGAAAGTGTAATAATGGCAATAAAAAAAGGGACACGTCAAAGCGGAAGCCACCCGACTATAACAGCGCGCTTGTGCGGAGACTTATTTACGTCAGCGGAAGTTCACCGACTATAACATTAAAGGTTACCCATTTACGCCGAATAAACGATTGAGATTTAGATCACATCTGGTTATAATGGCAGTGGAACGATTCCTCAGTACTATAATGGTGAACTGGTGAGACACCGAGCCAAGTTAGGCGAAATTCTTCGGTATATAAGTCTTGAAAAGTAGATCCACATAACGCCAAATGAAATTAAATGGGTAAGCTAAGAAATATTTATTTTAAAATATCCCTGTTATTATTATAGTCCTACAGCCATATCACGTTGAAACATCGCTTCTCGTACAATCACCAAATTAAGCAACGTCGAGCCTGTTCAGTACCTAGATGGGGACCAATTGGGAGCACCAAGTGATGTAAGTTGAGACGTGCGGATGTTATGGCTTACGGTCATATCGCAGAGAAACACCGGTTCCCGTTCGATCACTGAAGATAAGTAACATCACGCCTAGTTAGTACCTAGATGGGGGGGGGGCAACTTAGGTGTACAAGGTGATGTAAGGTTAGATTTGCGGATGGTATGGCTTACATTCATATCACGTGCAAACACCGTTTCTCGTATGATCAACAGTTAAGCAACGTGGAACGTGGTCTAGCTAGATGAGAGACCCCTTGGAAATATCAGATGATGTAAGCTTGAATGTATCGATGGAGTGGTTTACAGCCATATCACATGGAAACCCTGGTTCTTGTACAATCACCGAAGGTAAGCAACGTCGAACCTGGTCAGTACATTGATGGGTGACCACTTGGGAATAGCAGATGCAATCGATAACAGCCGTAATTGGTATCTAAAAATAATTCAATGATGCAAAATGCATGTTTTTGTTTCCTGACATGTTTAAATTTGTTTTATTTGATAATAGTTATCAGCCAAATAATTTCAAAATAATTCACAACATTAAATGTTATTTACATTATTTGCATTCTTCGGACTGTTTTCTTCATCTTTTTTGCCATATTTAAGACATTTCGACTGTTGTACGCTCCGCCCTTCTTCAGATGATTGGAGTCCACATCACTAAATCAACACTATGTCTGAGATACTATATGACACCTTGATGCTCTGGCCACATCGAAAAGAGATCCAGCTACTAATGGACCATGTGAACTCAATAAGATAATCGATACAGTTCACAATGGAGATCAACAATAAACTCGCATTGCCGGATTTACTAATATCTCGAATAGAGCATGGGTTCAAGACATCCGTATACGGCAAGCAAACATTCACCGGACAATACCACAACTTCAACTCCCACCACCCATACAGTGTAAAGAAAAGGAGTGTCCGCTGCTTAAACATCGAGAAAACGTCATATGAACAGGAAATGACCGTATAAGCAGTAAACTACAAAATAACAACTACCCGGGATACAAAGCACTATGTGTACGCAATCCCATGCAGTTGTGGCAAGAAGTATAAAGGAGAAATAGGTCGTTTCCTTAAGATAAAGCTGCAAGAACATCGTAAAGCCGTAACATGAAGTGAAATAGAAAATCAGGTGTAACTGACAACATATGGAGAGAAAAGGGAGACCACCGCCCCCTGTGGGATGAAGTTGAAATAATAGAGAGAGAACATCACTGGGAAATACGAAAACTCTAAGAATCAGCACATATGCTAGGCCACAAAAATATCCTGAACCGACCAAGCATAGAAATGAATACAACATGGGAACAAGTAATAAGGAGTTCTAGAGAAAATCAATGAATAACAACAAAAATTTGCAATATGAGCTCTGTTAAAAATCATTAACTGAGGCATTAAGTTTATAAGTCCCAAAAATGTCCTCAATGACACATTGCCGAGTGGATAAAAGTGGCAGTTGGATCCAGTGACTTGATCTAAAAAATTGTGAATTCAATACCTGGCTGCTGCACTGGTGAACAACATTTTGGAGAGTTAAAAGGAGATAACTGAGTCGTTCGGAAGAGACATGTTACATGGAAGTAGAAATAAAGTTGAACGAAATAAAGGATTCATTTCAAAATTCCAATCACCTGAAGAAGACTGGGACGTAAAATTGCCGAAATGTTGTGAATAAGGCAAAAAAGATGGGGGACAACAGTCCGAAGAATGTAAATAGTTTAAATAATTAAAATACATCATCTCAGAAATATAGACATACATTTTTATAAGAATATTTTAGAATAAATTACATTACGATTTATTATATTAAAATTAATTAAAAGCAAAAAAATGGTTCATATTTTACGTAATGCCTTTTCAAATGCTTTATTTCAAGAAAATATTCACTAATTAAGTTTTTAATCATTAATAAATTACTTTTATTCGGTTATAAAGTTATATTTTTCTGGTGCTGTGTTGTCTCGGCCCTGAGTTATCTCGGCGGGGTGAGTTGGCGGTGTTGAGTTGACTGATGAGTTGGAAGGCATATAAGAGATAGTAAGTATATCAAAGGAGGTGTGTTATAATTATAAACGTTTAGCGTTATGGATTTGGAAGTTTAGCAAGATTGTAATGTTAGATCGTTAATATGCCTACAAAAACGGTGGTTTCAAATATTTAATAATTGGGTATTGTTCAAAAGTTTAATAATACATATTTTTTTCCTGCAAACATAAAAAATAAGGTTCATTCAAAGATTTGCAAGTTCTGGCATGTTTTAGGATTTTCCATTTAAGCTTAGGTGTTTTCTTTCTTCCTTCAGTTTCCAAAATTATTTAGAAAGTGATGTCATATTGCATTTGCTTGTATTAATAAAAGAGGATATGTGGCTGTAATATCGATCCTTAAAAGATCTTCAAGTGGATACCATATACAATTTAATATCCTAATTTGATGAGATATAGCATATATATACAATGGATTTAGTTAGGCACCTGCTTGATAATGGACATTGATCGGGGATTCTGCAATTACATAGCTCTGTTACTTGGGGCATATTAAAATTTGTGTTTGGGTTGTGTTTATTCTCGTTATAAAAGTTCTGTATTCTATTGTTGCGTGATTTAATAAATTTATCTAAATTTCTGGAACAGCTATAACTAATTTTTAGGGTATTGTGATTGAAGATTTGACCTAATTTACTATTCGGAGGAAAGTGTTTCTTAATTATATTTAAAAATTTATGTGCCAAAAATCCAAAGAAATCCACGAGAGAACTATAAAAGAAACACAATTTGCGCACCAGTATCTATAACACTGGCAACTAGAATTTAACGAACTTCACGTAAAATCATAGAGAGAAAAAAAAGAAAAAATTGGTAAGTTGATTTATTCTTACTAACAAAAAGTGATTTTTTTTTGTCGCAGAGAAAAAGTTAATGTTCCTTGTTCTGGCAATGTCTTAAGAAAGGAAAATATTTTGTTTCCAGCGCCGAAGTATAAACTTTACGTTTCGCAGTTGTCCAAAAAGTGAGAAAAAAGTGATTTGTTTGTTTTTTCTTCTTCTCTCCTCCGAACAATACAAAGTCTTGGTACAAGTAAACTTACGTAGAAGCGTAATATTGAAAAGTAAAACATGGAAGAGTTTAAAAAGCTACTATGTTAGAACTGGTTACTCCAGTTTGAACAACAGCGAAGAAACGACGAAAAGCAATTAGAATTACAACAAGGAAACGACGAAAAACAACAGCGAAAACAAGAAGAGCAATTAAAATTACAGCGAAAAATGATAGAACAACAGAAAAAGTTTGAAGAATTGCTTCTACAAACAGGGTCGAATAAGGGTCAAAATACTGAAAGCGAAACTACTTTTTCACAAAACGCAATTTGGATTGCAATTGACAATTTCACTTATTCACCAGACGAAGATAAAACCTTTGCTTCATATTTCAGAAGTTATGATGTTCTATTTGAAATAGATTGTGGAAAATGGATAGACGCTAAAAAGCTACGCCTACTGCTCCGGAAATTAGGGACTACTGAACATAGCAAATAGTGGACTACATATTACCTCGAAAAACTAGTGATTTAACTTTCATTGAAACTGTAAATCTTCTTACAGAACTATTCAGCCCTAAAACGACGTAATTTCACAAAAGGTGGAAATGCTTAAAGCTAACCAAGAAAGACAGCGAAGATTACTCGACGTCCGCATCGGTAGTTAACAAACATTGTGACGATTTTAAATTAGCCGAACTTAACGCAGACAATTTAAAGAGTCCTAACCAGGTTAGAGGGAGAACCAAATGTAACCTTACAAAATATAGCCGAAGACTGCCAAAAATATATAAGTGTAAAAAATGATTCTAGAGACATTGAAGAGTCAGGCGTTTTACACATAAGAAAAATATATCGAAAACCACATTTTTCCTCCCCTTCAAAAACAAGTCAAACCAAAAAAGATTATTTTCACTCTAAGAAAAAAGTCAACTCAATCAAAAACCGAAAAATTTACCGCCCAGTCCATGTTACCGTTGTGGAGCACTTTATTGGTCTAAAAATTGCCAATATCGGTTTAAAACCTGCCCAACTTGTAATAAAGTTGGGCACAAAAGTTCACATTGCAGAACGAATAAAGGTGGGGAAAGCCGGATTAGATCCACAAAAACAGACGAACTATGCGTCAAATATATAAGAAAATATGTGTAGGTGAAAATACTGAATAAAAAAGTCAGTTTATAGTGAGACTCCGGGTTTGATTTATCAATAATCAACCTACATACTTGGAAAAGATTAAATAAACCAATCATGCTAAAAACCGGCAAAATAGCTAGGTCGGTGAAATTAAGTTTTAAGGTGAAATTATCGCGAACGTTACTTTGAACGGAACAACCAAAAGATGAAAATGTTCGTGTTAAAAAACACAGACAATCTATTTGGCACAGATTGGATGCAGCAGTTCAATCTGTGGTATTTACCAATTAATACTTTTTGTCAGAAAATAGAAAATCTGACGACCGAGTCAGATAAACTAAAGAAGGAATTAAAATAAACCTTCCCCGAGGTCTTTTCGGCTGGCCTTGGTAGATGCAAAAAGATGTCAGCAAAATTTGAGTTAAAAGAAAACACTCAACCAATATTTAAGAAAAAAAGGAATGTGCCTTTTGCCTCGTTAGAGGAAATAGACAAGGAATTAGACAGACCTGTAGAGACTGGCATTTTTATCTAAATGGAATATAGCCAGTGGGCAGCACCAGTAGTGTATGTGAAGAAGTCTTAGGAAATCCGCGTGTGCGCAGATTTTTCTACTGGACTAAACGCAGCACTAGAAGATTATCACTACCCACTTCCAAGCCCGGAAGAAGTTTTTACGAAACTTAATGGAAGCAAGTTCTTTTCAAAAATCGACCTCAGCGAAGTTTATCTCCAGATACCCGTTGAGGAAGAAAGCTCAAAATTACTATGTATAAATACACAGAGATTTATACAAGTTTGAAAGGCTTGCATTTGGAGTCAAAGTCGCACCAGCCATTTTTCAGCAGGTTATGGACACCATGCTGGGTGGACTTGATTTTTCAACAGCTTACCTAGACGACATATAAATAAACAGAAAATGCTT